TTACAGCGATACGGACTTCAGTGCGAGGCCTGGTGTGGCTTTCCTTAGAGTGTGGCTTGTCGTTGGAGTAAACCTTGAGCGTGTGAACGCCATTTTCAAAGCTGTAACGCTCCCCCTTTTGCAGGTCATACGGCCACTGAACCTTCATATGCGATGCAGTCAGTGGCAGCGCCACGAACCCTCTCGTCGGATCACCCGCATTTCCACCTCCTTCAGCCAGCAGCAACAGCCACGAGAAGAACAACAGAAGAATAGCAGAGATCATCGCCTGGAAACTGCTGCTGTAAACTGCTGCTGCTGTACTTTTAACCATTTAACTTGAGGTATAGGTACTGTATATTGACAAGTTTGAACTGCTGAATCAGTCGTCTATATATAGAGAGAGTTTGGGTGGTGAACTTTTGGTTAGTTAGTTAGTGGTTAAGATCATGATTAATTAATTTGCTATACCTTGTGTTGTCGCAAGGCATGGAGCTAGAAGGAGGGAGAGAGTATGTGGAGTCGTACAGGACTGCTGCTCCTTCATTCGGATTCTTGACTGCTGAAATGATTTATATATGTTTACATACAGCCTATAAAATTACAAATAGAATCTTTGAAGCCGTCTGATTGCATGTGTATAAGTACGTGCATGTATATATATGTTGGATGAATTGTGGAATTAGTTTAAGATGTACGTTTGTGATACTGTCTCGCAATGCTCTTGGGTTGTGTGGAAAATTAGAGATTTCTGAAAAGTATTATCTTCTATCTGTATCTGCTCTCAAATTCGTATTTATATGGTATGAGGTCTGTTATGTATAGGAGGGAAACTTCCTGAACTTTCCTTTTTTTTTTTTTTGGCAAAAACAGGGCGCAAAGGGCGCCCTAACCTTCATTACATGCGAATAAAGCGAGGGGTTTCAATCCCCACTCGATCAAAGTACAGCCAGTAAAGCAAAGCAGTAGTCGGTCTATTCATCACATGCACCCCTATTGGATGCGAATGCCCTATAGAAGCAAGGTGGTCCGTAGCAAAATTCGCTTCGCGGAAAACATGATCGATCTTAACCGTCCAGTCTCGGTCCAGTCTCCTCCTGATCTCGGCGACCTGGGTGTAATGCATATGATGCTCGGTCGCGTTATCTATCAGGGCTTTTGCAGTTGCTGAGTCTGTTTGTAGAAGAACTTTCCTGGCTCCTTGCTCCCAGGCAAGATCCAACCCATACACAATACCAGCCAGCTCCGCTCGAGTAATCGAACCCCCTCCAAGGTTCGCTGTGAATGCTTTAATGAAGCGGCCATCACTCCCCCGCATGATGCCACCACAGGTTGTACTCTCAGGATGATGAATAACTGAGCCATCTGTATTGACAGAGACCCAGTCTTGCGCCGGTGGTTGCCAGCCAATGAAGCGCTGCTCTCGGGTGCCCCCAACCCCGAATATGTTTTCCTCCTTCTCAAGAAATTTGAGTATCTCGTCCCGGAGCTACTTTGTGTGAAACTGGATCTGTGTATGGGATTTCAGCTCGCCTTGGAACACGAGACCATTCCGATTCTTCCACAATAGCCAACAGGTTCCTGCAAACAGTGTACTGTTAATGACATTGCTTCACCCTGAAAGATAATACAAAGTCCACCTTTGGGCATTCGGCTCGAAGAAGCGAGAGTCGGGTTCGTCGTTGACGATATCCGCCCACGTAGCTCGTGCAAATGGGCAGTCCCTTATTACATGAAGCGTCGTCTCCGGTCCCCCTCCACAAATCTTGCAGCTGGTGTCAGTAGTGAGGTGTCGTCGGCCTCTCTCCGCATTTGTGAGTAGTCTGTCATGGTTCATCAGCCACAGGAATGTCCTTACTCGTTGTAGAGTTGGAGTCTTCCACACCGAACGCCAGGTCTGTTGTCCAAGGATGGGTGCCGCCGTGTTGTCCGTTAACTCATAGGCCGAGCGAAGAGAGAAGTCGCCATTGGGGTTGAAGCGCCATACACGCACGTCCTCCGCCTCTTCCGTCGGGATGGGATGGAGCAAAATCTGCGAGATAAAAGGTTGAGGTAAGTAGTAGAGAAGAAAATCAGAATTCCACTTACCGTTGAGGATGAAGTCTACGACAGGCATGTCAAGGAGCTCCGGTGGAAGTCCCTGGGCGTGGTTCTTCAAAATGGTTATATCGTCAAGCCACCGGTCGCTCCAAAACTTGGCTGTTCGCCCATTTCGGACATTCCAGCATGTCGCCTCCTCGAGCAAATGGGACACCCGGATCACCCCTCGCCAAAGGTTGGAGAGCCGACCCTCGGTCAGGAAATGACGTCCCTCTGCTGTGCGCCTAGAATATTTTGACAGTAGGACTTTGGCCCATAGCTCATTTGGTTTGGTAATCATCCTCCATGCAATTTTTATCATGTAGGCTTTGTTTGTTCTGGTGGCGTCTCGAAGCCCCAAACCCCCCTCCTCTTTAGGCCTGCACAACGTGTCCCAATCCACGAGATGGATTTTCCGGCCTTGTTCCGTACTGCCCCATATAAAGGCGCGAATTTTCTTGTCAATATAGTCTCGTACACTCGCCGGTAAGAAGGAAGTCTGCATCGTGTAAGCCGGGAGGGAAGCCAACACAGACTGTGCTAGCGTTATCCGTCCCACAAGGGATAGCGTAGCCGCCTTCCACCCCGCCAGCCGCTTATCAATCCTGTCTATAAGATCCATAAAGGTGGCTTTCGAAACCCTGTCGTGAATTACCGGCACCCCAAGTATCTTCCCAGGTTCGCGGTTACTGGGATCTGAAGATCGTCACTCAGACTTTGCTGGCATGCAGTGGTGGTGTTTGCCGAAAAGAATACCCGGGATTTTGGCCTGCTAATCTGCTGACCTGAAGCCTCCCCGAATTTCTCAAAGCATGCATTGATCTCCTGAACTTGTGCCCTATTCGCCTCCCCAAACAGAATGAGATCGTCTGCGAAGAAAAGATGGGAGAGGGCTGGTCCGTCCTGCGATAACCTTATCGGTTTTCATCGACCCGCTCTGACTGCATCATCAATGATATGTCCCAGTCTTTCCATGCATAGAGTGAACAGATACGGTGAGAGAGGGCAGCCCTGTCTTAATCCCCGGGACGGTTGAAAGCTCTCTGTGAGGCCTCCATTTCATTGTATCTGCATAGAAGCCGAAGAAATGCAGGCCATCGTCAGTTCCACAAACTTATCTGGAGCCCCCGCCGCCACCAGAGTATCCCTGACAAACCCCCATCTGATCCGGTCATAGGCTTTAGCTAAATCCACCTTCAGGACCATCCATCCACGTCTGTCTTTTCGGGCTCGCATCGAGTGAATCACCTACTGTAGAATGCAAATGTTATCTGTAATATGTCGCCCAGGAACGAAACTGGTCTGTGTTTCATGGACGAGGGCTGGCATGAGATTTTTGAGTCTCTCAGCTAGGCATTTGGTGATCGCCTTATACGCCACGTTGCATAGGCTGATCGGCCGAAATTGGTCAATGGTGGTGGGCTGCTGAATTTTCAGAATAAGAACAAGGATTGTTGAGTTAATGACATTGATCTTTTCCGGGTTACTCCAACATTCGATGACAAAGTTCGTCAGTGACTCACCCACCGTTTCCCAACATCTCTGGAAGAAGATAGGTCCCAGACCGTCTTTACCTGGTGCTTTGAGGGCACCCATCGCCTTAATAGCTGCATGAATTTCTTCCATATATTGCGTGTGATTAAGGGGCTGCCACCTAGATTCCCCTAGGGAGGGAAAATTTGCTTGCAAGGGTGTGAAATCACCACCTTCATCTTGGTAGAGACCACTGAAATAGATACGCGCCATTTCCAACAGCAAAGTTTGGTCCTCAATCCAATTACCGCCGCCATCCTTTAGCATGGTGACTCGATTTCTGCTCCGCCGGCGGAGAGTTCTAGAGTGGAAGTACTTAGTATTTTTGTCTCCAGAGCTTATCCATTCCAGGCGGGATTTCTGGCACCATAAGAGCTCCTCTTGAAATAGAACCAGCTCTAACTCTTCCTGAACCTGCTGAAGACGGGCTGCATTCCCTGGGTTACCACCAGCTTGTTCGAGGTCCTCAATCCGCCGAAGTAACTTGTCCTTCCGTCTTGTTATATGACCGAAAATGTTCCTGTTCCAGACCATGGCATCCCTGGCAAAGGCCGCGGCCGATTCTGTGAAAGAATCTCCCCTTGCCCATGCTTCGTCAGCCATGTCGCGAAATCCTTCATGAGTAAGCCACGCCGCCAGGAACCGAAAGGGTTTGGGTCCGGCTGGTGGGTGTGTCGCCGCCATGGAAACAAGAAGAGGGCGATGGTCGGATTTTCTCATGCGTGGCAGGTGTCTCACCACTGTCTCTGGGAAGGTAGAGACCCAGAGATTGTTAGCCATACCCCTGTCAAGTCTTTCCCGGAGTCCCGTTTTAAAACAAGTGTACGCGGGTCCTTCAAACCCTAGGTCCAGGAGTTCAGTGTCTTGGATGGCTTCTTGAAAGTCTCGAATCCTGGCAGCATCAAAAGGGGCACCCCCTAGCTTCTCCGAAGGGCTAATTATGGAGTTGAAGTCGCCCACGAGAAGCCAGGGGTGCTCCATGTCCTCCGCCAGCCTTCGAAGAAATGCCCATAGATCACGTCGTTGCATAGGGACCGGTCCCATAAATTGCTGAAAGTTGCCATGCACCGTCCTGGGGTTGTGAGCCCTGTACCTGCACATGGAGGCATTGTTGGTTAGAATCAATTCTTGTAATGCTCAGATCGCAAGAATTCCACAGAATCCAAATTCCCCTAGAGAAGCCTACTGCATCTACGATAAGTTCCCTATCAAAACCCATTTTTCGAATAACATCAAGGGCGCGGTTCCCACTAATTCTGGATTCCACAATAATCACTATGTGAGGTTTGGACTTCCTACGATACTCGCGAAAAGCTCGTAGGAAATCCTTGCCCCCTGCTCCCCTACAATTCCACGAAAAATTTTTATAATCCATAAACATAAGTGGAAGAAGAGGTAACTCCCTTTGATCACGAACTCGGCGGGGAGGTCCCGTCGATTTGCATTCCCGAAGAGTTCATCTTCGTGATATCCCTTGTATCTGTTGGTTTCGTTGGCCCTTCGCTCGGATTGAAATCTGACGGCCTGTCTTTCACCCCGTTATTGGTCGGGGTCACGGCCACCCGGTTATGGTCGGTTCCACCGTCTTGCCTATGGAGCATCGGGGAAGGCTCACTGCTCGCAGGAGTAGTTCGGGTTGTGTCTGCTCCCTGATGTGTCCGACCAGACTGGGATTCCTTTTTTTTTCCCGCCATTCCCTCACTTCTGTTCGAAATGTGGATAGTAGAGCGGGCTGCCATAGGCGCAGTGGTTCCCTTCTCAGTTCTCGCTGGTACTCCATGCTTAGACGTCCGATTTGTATTTTTGCTTTTGCTGGCCGAGTGATGCTGCACAGGGTTTGGGATCCTTTCAGTAGCTTCCCTGGGCTCCGAATCCATATGTAGATCTTCTTCCTCCTCTAGAGCTGCAAACCTTGATCCCCCAACGTGGTATTGATACCCTTGATCCGCTTTTCCTCCCTTCTGGTTAGGAGCAGCCCCTTGTTCCTTCTTTTGGGTTCGAGATCTGCGTTTTGCAATCATCCACTCCCCCTAGACGGGTTCGGTTTGATCAGGTGCTGGCGAGGGTGCCCTATCGGTATTGTCATCCTCCATCGGTGTTTGCGTTATAATACAAGCACATCCCCTCTTTTCAGCGTATGTTCCACATTTCAAGCATATATTGTCCAACCCTTCGTACTGGATGAAGTATTTTTTGCCTCTAATAGAGAATTTCAACAGCAAGGGTCGAGTTAAGTCCACTTGAACGCAAACCCGGGCATAGTCGCTGCGAGCTGCCGTACGGTTGGCTTCATCGATCCGGATAGGCTTTCCAATGTGTCTCCCAATCTTCATGACTGCGTCTTGATGGAATTACTGGATCGGGATGTCAAGGAGTCTCGCCCAAACCAGCATCGATGAGACTTCGTGGTTATATGGATCAAAGTCCTTGTCCCACAGATGCACCGACAGGTAGTTTGGTCCTATCATCCATGGTCCGTTCATGACTGCCCTGTCGTAGTCTAGTCCACTCGTGAATCGAACAAGAAAATATCCATTTTTCATGGACGTTACTTGGATCCCTCCTGCCTTTGCCCAAATCGCATTCAGGCGGATGGACACCGCCGTGTATGAAACTGACCGACCTAGGGCTTTTACGATGAGGGCTGATCTTAGCTTGCGGCAGACAGACCTCTCTTCTGCTGCGGTGAAATATATCGGCGGGCAAGTCGAGTCCATTTCCCCATCGAAACCCTCCTCCAGGCCATCCTCGCGCATCGCCGTCGCCGCGTCTTCACTATCCGAGTCGGCCGTGTACCACTCATCCATGCGAATCTCCCCTCCGAAGAGCCTGCGCGCTGCTCCCGTCCCTTGCGACCAGACGTTTGGTCGAGGACTTGACGGCGGAGATTTCCTGGCCGTATCCTTCCCGCTGCCACCTTCATCTTCCAGCAGGGTGTTGTTGACCGGAGCCGTTTGCTTCGCTTTCTTCTTCATATGTTGCGCCTCCCTGTCGCCTTTAGGGTTCAGGGAGGACGTTTCCGTGGGTGGCCTACGTTGGCCAGCAGTCGCCTCAGGCAGGGGGGCCGAGAATGGCTTCCCCCCGGCCGGCGGCACGACGTCCGCCGACATCGCTTCCAAAAAACCCTATCTCCTGTCGCCGCTATTCCGAGTCGTCGCCCTCCGATAATTGCGGAGAACAAAACCCCATATCCCCAACTTTCCTTTTTTTATTGGGGATGAGTCATAAGTCACACATCGTTAAAATGATAATTACTCTTATTAACTAGCATGTGCCCGACCCGTTGGTCGGAATATTCGATTTTATATACGATTTAATTAACTGTGGCAAATTAAGTTTTTCCAACAATTTTTCAATAAAATGTTTTATTCTCATATTTTCCAAAGTCTGCCCATAGTATGAGCATGTTTATCACAATATTCATACCATCAATGAAATTCTTTTGCATGTAATTTATGTCATTAGATTCTTATAACTTTTGCGAAAAAGAAAAAATTACATAGTTTCTCATAATCTCAATCTGTATCATTTGCTCTCCTCAAATCCAAAAATCATAAGTACGTTTTGAACGAATACATGAATATAAGCTACCTAAGAAAGAATTTGAGTACCAAACTCAAATTTGTCTGTTCTTCCCTATTTTTTCCATAAAATAAATAAATAAATATATATATATATATAAATTCAACGTGGGCAAAAAAAAAAATACCACACGCATTCATTTCTTTGATTTTTACGTGCTTTCATTTTTTAAACTTTTAGAATTGACCCTTAATCATTAAATCACAAAAAAAATTAGCTTGCTAATGTTTTGATCATATAAAAATACGTCTCACCAAAATAAAAATCATATAAAAATACTCGATTACTAAATTATTAACTCTCAATGCTAAAATCAAAAGGATGTATTGTATTTGTACCCCGAATCCTGGCTCTATAAATGGCTAAACAGATTGTTGTCAACGCATTTAGAATTATTGAAAGTCAATGAAGATTATACACACTAGCTTTTTACCCGCCCGTTGGGCGGCGCATTCGTATTGGTGTTTTAGTTTTCGTTCTATTGTTTTTTTATGATTTATGTATGTTAAACTATTATACATTGAATTATTAATCTAACTTACTTGATTTTAGGTATTTTTACAAACTCTTATATCTTTCGTTTATTTATGAAATTTTGATTTTATTAAATGAGCTTTCGGTAGATCTTTCTTTCTTTATTTATAAGTTGTTATCGAACCCACAATTTAGAATATAAATATAAGATATTATTAATCTTTTAGCACAATAGTGACAAAGAAGTTTGAAAAAATTAAATAAGCAAATATGTTTCAATTAATAAAAAAATAAGCAAAGAGATTTTCATTCTTCTCCCTTCTCGTGCGTTGCTATATGATAATATATTATATCGTGCTCTAAATCCCACGAATATCGTACACTATCAGTTACTTGTGCAATTTTGGAAGAATGAGGAAACACATTAGCATCCACATCATTAATCTCCTACTTATTCATTTAATTTATCTTCAAAATGTTCTAGCATAACCAATCAAAAATAAAACTATTAGTTGTCACTATTTTATTAAAATGATATTTTTCAGCAAACTAAATTGTATATATACACAATTTATATTTGTAGAGAACTACATACAACCTTCAAAAAAACAATGGTTAAATTTTTTACCTAATAACAACATAGACAAATTGTAAAAGTTGCATACTTAAATAAAACTCAACGCATTGTATCTTGTAAAATCTTCATTCATGAAAACAATTGATGCATCAATCCAAATAGTTGTAGTCAAGAAAACGATCAAGCCAAAATTGAGTTTTAGTTAGGGATTCCATTAGGAAAACTTTCATGCTAAGGAAACAAACAAATGTCATTGCAAACGCGTAGAAATTGAAAGAACGTCGACATAGACAACTTAGAGACTACCACCATCATTTTCTTTCTCCTTCGCACCTTTATAAAACCTCACATGTGTTCCCTTCTACTTATAACCCCCTGCTACATTTTACTTACTGGCCAGATCATAATCATATAGGTAGTAGCATGTTACTCATGAACATAATAAACAACCCTAACAACTCTGCTTTCAATTTTATCATCCACGAAATTGGGATGCAATAGGCAAGTAAAATGATCAATTATTCAACCAAAGGAGAGATACTCTAAGTCCAAGCAATAAACCATTCCAATTGTCTATTACATGTTTACATAAAAGTATACAATATAGAGAACCATAAAACAACTAACTGAAAACCCAAGAGAAATACATTCATTGATTTGAGCATAAAATTTTACCATCAAGCCGTTGTAATCTAGAAGAAATTAAGAAACAAATGGAAAGAAGAGTTTAATATGGCCAGTCAACCGCAAACAACCACATATCTCTAGGAAAAAGAGACCAGTTGTCAACTACAAATTAAGGGTGAGGAGGGAGCAATGAGCAATCATCGACTTCATTCAATTCATCTTCGCAATGATAGGATGAACTTTTTTAGTCAATCGTCAAACATATGTTACAGATGCTCAACTGTATCCCATCAAATCATTGTCTCATGTAACTCCGCCCTCATATTCTCTTACAAAGAGTAAAAACTCAATATGCCTTACTATTTCTTTTCCTGTATCTGTTTGAAAAAAAGTAGAGAAAAGAAATGCTAGAAATCTTAGGATTTTGAGGAAATAAGAAGAGAGGTTTGTTTGTTTTTATGTGGCTTGATCCAATTTCTTTATTTTCAATGTTGCACTTTATTTTTATAGAGATAATTTGTATGAGAAAAGGAATAGGAACAAACCAAAATGTTGCATTCTGTGTTATTAACTTAATTTACGTTTTATTTATAATAATAGCAATTTAAAGAGTAAACAAAAAATTATATAAGCAAGAATTAGAACTTGTCCACTATGGAAGGGTGAGAGCTAGCCATTTGTTGATATGACACTAATTTAGTTTTAAATTCCTATATGATTAAGTAATGATGATTTATAATTTTTGAATTTTTTTTATAAACTTTTAATAATTCATACAAATATTGTGACATTTCACATACATGTGAATTCTGGGATGTATTGTAGACAAATTTATTGTAAATACAACTTGCTTACTGTTACAAAATAGAAAATTCCTATTTGATACGTTGATATTGAAAAAGTTTTTATTGTTGCCAACAAAATCACATGTGTCATTTTTTAAGATATATTGTGTCTCGTCTTAAGGTATGAAGTCAAAGTTTGTCAAAACTCATACTTAAGTCATTTTTAAAACGTTGATGTATAATCCTCGACAATAACTCTAAATCCGAAAAGAAAATTTATTAACATATTATTTATGACCTCAATTGAGCATGCTCAACCAAATCATCTAAATCAAATATTTTAATGTGAACTTAAAAACCAAATTATAAAATATTGCACATGATTACTCTTCCTTTGAGAAATTTCAGGTAGAACATTAATATATGTTTTCATTTCATCGGGATGAATAGAAATGTTTTTAAGAAATTATTATTATTTCTCGATCAAGTTATATTCTGAAAATTATTTTATTATATGAAATAATTATTTATATACAACTATTTTAACTGGTAGACATATATATTATAAAGAAGTATAATAAGAGAAGCTTTAATATATAAATTCATATATTTCATTTTTCAAAGTCGATTGATTGTCAAATGCTTGATTTATCTCTTTGTGTCGTTATATTTTATTTAATGTACAAATATATTATTATTTATGTGCGTATTTCTTTAAAGTTTTCATCAAAATATAAATTATTATTAAGTTTTGGTTAAAATGAATAGATAATTTATTTGATAAGATTTAATCATATATTTTTTGTTTAAACAAACCCGATATATGTTATTCATTGTTTCCATCTTTATATTTTGTTTAATTGACAAAAATATTATTATTTTTGCTTGTTTTTACTTACATTCTTAATGTGAACTTATTATTAATGTTGAGTAAAAGTGAGCATAAATACTAAAAGAAGAGAGAGATAACTTCATAAATAGATCAATAATAAAAATTTTTGGTGATAAAAAAAATGTCCACCTAGGCAACTTGTTATTTCTCCAAGTGCTTATGTGGCAAGAATTTACTTTTGAATTGCCATAATATATAGTATAGATAGATAGATAGATATAGATATAGATAGATAGATAGATAGATAGATAGATAGATAGATAGATTATATCTGAACCGAGAATATGACCCAATTAAAAACAAGGTGGTCTTTACTAAGAATATAGCTAAATTAAAAATGAACTAAATATAAATTAAGACATTAAATAAAAGTGATTATCAGCACTATTCTTGTATGTTTAATTTTGTATTATTGATATTATAGTTTATAAATTAGCTATATGATCCATAACCGGAAGCATTTTGGAGTTTCTACCATACCATCATGTTAAGTATATGCTAACATCACACCACTTTATTTTATTTTATTAAAAATCTTAATTTGTAGTTGCATTTTCATAACAATTTGTCCATGAGAAGTAGTTTACTGAATGCTTAAAAAAAAATCAAACAATTCAATACAATAACCATTAATGTGGAATTCATAATAAAAATCCCATTAATAAAGTTTACAGATGGATCATAAAAAAATCATAATTAAATGGTAATCCAAAAAAATAAAGGAAAGTGTTGCGCAAAAAAATATAATATATTTAAAAAATTTACATTTTTTATTTATTTTCATTTTTGAGTTATAATCAAATGATATTCCAAAAATTATAGGTAAGCGTTGCATAAAAATATAAAAATATTGTTTTAATTTAAAACATGTTTCATATTATTTATTCCCTCCAACCTCTTCTCTCTCCCAGCTCTTTGTATACACAATCGAAAATTATTTATTTTCCTATTGGATTTTTAACGGACGATTTCTCTATTGTTTTAACTCGATTTTTTTTTTGCACAGATAAATCGGATTAATTGTATTCTTTAAAATGATATCCACTTTGATATTTTTTTAGAACAAAAAAAAAATTGAATAATTTTTTTACTATTAAATATCATTTGGTATGCGCCTATTTAATACATATGACAAGAAAGTGTACCATGATATGATGTTATGAAAAAAAATCT